ATAGATAGATAGATAGATAGATGATAGATAGATAGATAGATAGATAGATAGATAGATAGATAGATAGATAGATAGATAGATAGATAGATAGATAGATAGAAGACAGAAAGATTAATTTGACCAACTTAGAATAAGAAAGTTACTTGGCACTTTTCTGTCTCTCTCCCTCACTTCTTGTAGCATCAGTGTCTTTGGCATCGATCAAATGGATTTTCTTCTTCTTCTTCTCCTCCTCCTCCTCCTTCTTCTTCACCGCTCACTTCCTCTCTTCTTGCCTCCTTAGCCATCTACCTTTCAGGCTGCACACTGTAGCCACCAAGACCTTCCTAAATCACCAGTCAGATGTCGCTCCCCTGTCAAATCTTTCAGAAGTTTCCTCACTTTCGGGCTGACATTAAACTCCTGAGGTGGAGAAGTCTGTCTTGACCTCACTGGCCTGTCTCCTGCTCCACATCTGAAGTTCACTGCAGAAGCCTCTGTGGTTCTCCAAATGCCTTGACCATCTTCTTCCCAAAGTGAGAAATGGCATTTCCCCTTGCCCACAGCTTCAGTCCAAGCAGTCCACTCACGGGGAACTGCGCCTTCCCGGGCAGCATTCGGTGCCTGCTGCAAGTTCTGTACTGTCTGTCCTCTGTCTGTCCTCTGTCTGCCTCTGTCTGTCCTCTGTCTGCCTCTGTCTGTCCTCTGTCTGTCCTCTATCTGCCTCTGTCTGTCCTCTGTCTGTCCTCTGCAGTCGGTGTAAGTGTTGGGGACAGGAACCAGGCCACATTTCTGTTTTGACTCTCTCTCTCTCCTCCCCCCCCCCCCCGTGTGTGTGTGTGTGTGTGTGTGTGTGTGTGTATAGGCTCTCACTCTGGCTCAGGATGGTTTTGAACTTGTGGGATATCCTCCTGCCTCAGCGTCCCAAATGCTGGACTTGCAAGCCTGAGCTACCATGCCTTGGCTTATAGTAAGTAGGTTTTTAGCATATTTTCTCTGGATGACAATGATGTCTTAGTGTGAGAAGTGCTGAGGACTGAGCCCCATGCATCCTTATCAAGGAGCCCACCTCTCAGCCATCTGAGGCCCCTCCAGCTTTTTGTAGTTTTTATTTTGAGACAGTCTGGTACTAAATTGTCCAGACTGGCCTTGACTTTGAAATCCTCCTGCCTCAGCTGTAGCTAGGATTACAGACCTGTGACACCAGGCGAGTATGAAAGCAACTTTTGAGGCAAATAAGTTGTGTCATATCTGACAGCTCTTTGGACCTCAGAATCTGTGAAAATGTTTAAAAAGTGTAAGCCAGTTTTTAAAAATAATTTGTTTATTTGTATTTTATATACATTGGTGTTTTGTCCACATGTATGTCTGTGTGAGGGTGTCAGATCCCCTGGAACAGGACTTACAGACAGCTGTGAGCTGCCTTGTGGGTGCTGGGAACTGAACCTGGGTCCTCTGGAAGAGCAGCCAGTGTTCTTAACTGCTGAGCCATTGCTCCAGCCCTTATTAATTTGTTGGTTTGTTTGTTTGTTTATCGAGACAGGGTTTCTCTGTGTAGCCCTGGCTATCCAGGAACTCACTCTGTAGACCAGGCTGGCCTTGAACTCAGAGATATCCACCTGGCTCTGCCTCCTGAGTGCTGGGATTAAAGGTGTCCACCACCACGCCAAGGCATAAGCTACTTTTAAATGATACTTTGATGGTTTTTATCTCCTTTTTCACCATGTTTTATGAAGAAGATTCCTCTGGCTCATGAGGAACCTGAAATCCTTCTAAGAGAGCATTCTCACTCCATGAATAGACCTGCTGCGGCCGGGGACCCACAGGGAAGAGATGGGGAACCCAGTCCTCTGCACTCTCTTTCCCACCATTCCAAGTCCAGACACTGATGTGTTCATCACGCTATTGCTAATGATGGCAGCTTGTCTTGTGCTTGTATGCTATTTATTACCAACTAATGAAGACTAAGAAACAAAAAATCAAACCACACAAGGATTTCAAATTCAACTTCTAAAATTCTTTTTTTTTTCCTTTTATTTTATTTTACAATACCATTCAGTTCTACATATCAGCCACGGATTCCCTTGTTCTCCCCCCTCCTGCCCTCCTCCCCCTCCTATCAGCCACGGATTCCCTTGTTCTCCCCCCTCCTGCCCTCCTCCCCTTCCCCCCAGCCCACCCCCCATTCCCACCTCCTCCAGGGCAAAACCTCCCCCGAGGACTGAGATCAACCTGGTAAACTCAGTCCAGTCAGAACTTCTATAATTCTTAAAACAAAAGTAAAAAATTAAAAAATATATATTAAAAAATAGTTTGAAACCATTGTCAAAATCCATCCTGTTAGATTTAATACACCCAAAGTAAAAAAACAAAAACAAAAAACAAAACCCAAATAACATGAAGTCATGATATTAGCACACACTGCAGATGTGAACTAAAACACAAACACGGAGACCGTAAAGAGCCCTACAGCGCAGCAAGCTTTCCCCTCAACTTTCTATTTTCCACCTCTTCTGTAGTAAGGAACCAGCACACCTGCCCCTCCACCTCCCTCAGCTTAAACCTAATCTCACATCTGCAGCTCTGGAACCGAGAGCTCTGGGGAGAAGACGGTCTCCCTTCCAGCTGTGCATCGCTGTGTGACCGGATGCAACAGGTCACCTATCGTCTCAGTTTCCTTGCTTGCTTCTGGGGGTGGGGTGGGGTGTTGTGACATCCACATGAGGCTACTAGCAGATGCCTGGCGCTCAGTGAGTTCTCGGAGAGGTTCAGGACCCCTGCAGAGTCACGGGGTTCCACCTGGGAGTGAGCAGGGGCAGTCTCTCATCTTCCCCCTCTCCCTCGTAACTGTTTGCTCTTGCTCCTTCTCCCCCCATTTCCCCTGTTGGCCTCTTCTGACTTTATTAATAAATCCAGCCATTCCCCTGCCTCACCACTTACACAATAGTTCTTACATTTGTCTCACTTTTCTCTCTCTTGTTTATACAGCGGACCACGTAGCCATGTATGACATCTTTGCACAGACGCAGAAGCCGTCGGGCGACTGCATGTATGAGTTTGACGGCGATGAGCAGTTCTATGTGGATCTTGACAGGGAGGAGACGGTCTGGGGCCTGCAGGAGTTCAGCACGGTCTACGCCTTTGACGCCCAGGAGGCTCTGCCCTACATCGTCAGCCTGAAGAACAATCTCAGAGCCTTGATCCAGAGACACAACGTCACCCAGGTCCCCAGTGGTGCGGGTTCTCTAGTCTCTTCCTCTGCCATCCAGTGGGAGGGGTGGGAGGGCCCTGGCCCACACTCAGAATGGGAGTCGCTGACGCCCTCTGCTGGGGGACCCTTCTTGGACCGGCCTGGGCTCCCTGCCATAAGTGGGGGGCTGGCAGCCTGGCTTCTCTTCCCACTCATGAGAGGTTGAGCTGAGGGAGGTGGCTCAGTGGAAGGCGTCTTCCAGCTCTCGCTCTGGACCCCAGAGGTGACTTGATGCTGGGTGGGAGCTCGGTGACCCACCCAGAACTCACCAGGTTCTGTCTCTTCCCAGAGCCTCCTGAGGTGGCAGTGTTCCCCAAGAACCCAGTGGAGCTGGGCCAGCCCAACGTCCTCATCTGCCACATCGACAGGTTCTTCCCCCCAGTGCTCAACGTCACATGGCTTCGTAACGGGCAGCTGGTCACTGAAGGGACTTCTGAGACAGTCTTTCTGCCCAGCACAGAACTCAGATTCCACAAGTTCCACTACCTGACCTTCGTTCCCACCGCCGAGGACGTGTATGACTGCAAGGTGGAGCACTGGGGCCTGGGCGAGCCGAGGCTCAGCCACTGGGGTAAGCAGTGCCCCCTGCCCCCAAGCCTCTGCTCCCGGGACCTCGTGCCCAGCATCCCACTGTCCTAACTGCATCTCCTCATTTCCCTCAGAAGTGCAGGAGTCGGTCCAGGTGACGGAGACGATGGAGACTGCAGTCTGTGCTCTGGGCCTGGTGGTGGGGCTGGTGGGCATCACCATTGGCAGCGTGCTCATCGTAAGGGCTCTACTCCAGCCATGACCCCTGGACCCAGGGACCCCTGGGAGTAACTGTGGAGGTGGGGATGCTAGGGTGCAGTCAGAGGACAGAAGAGGGAGTCCACACCGGCTGTCCAGGCAGGAGGGAACACAGATGAAGTGGACACAGATCTCTCCGGGGTTAGCGGGCAGAGCTATGTGAGACGACCCGGAGAACCCAAGGCTGGGACACTACCCTGAGCATCTGACTTACAGCCCAATGTTATCCCTCCTCTACGTGATGGTACTAACGTCACTGGGGTTTGACGCTGGAGAGATGCTTACAGCGTTGATGTGCACAAGCATTAACCACCTTCACCAAGGCCACACAGACTGCCTGGATCCCAAACAGCTTCACCACTGTCCTCTGCTCCCTCTTAGGAAGAAAGAGACCGAGTTCAACCACAGTCTAGTCTTGGATCCAGTCTGTCCTGCGCATGCGCACATTTATAGGATGCTGGGATCGGGGCTGATACACAGCTTCTCATCTCTCCTTGGACCCACTGATGGCAAAGCTCACATAAATTCCCTTATGGCCTTGCATTTATCAAAATCCTTATATTTCACATACTTATGTTTTTAAATTCTCCCACTGGATGGTGATCTCTCCATGATGATGGCGCCTCTCACTCACCTTCACTGTTACTGTTATCCACTGTAACCTTGTTGTTGTTATTGTTACTATAACCTCAGGGCCAAGGTTAAATCGCCAGTCCACTGTCAGGGCACCCTCTTCTGACTCCTCTGTTTGCTCCTCTGTTCCCTTACTCCCGGGACTAACCTCTTCCCCGACACCATATGTAAACGCACTCATGTATTCAGTGAGTTTCCATTACATACGGTTACTGCGTGCAATGTGCGTAAGTATTCACTGTCCCTGCAGCTTTGGTGAGCTCAGAAGGTTCCCACTCCATGTCTGATTTGAACCTTTAGTCCGTTGCTTTCAATTGTTCAGTGTGGTCCTACTCTAGCCGTCCGTCTCTACGCCCTCTGGGATACCCGGGCTGTGTCCCATTACCTTTCACAATTCTCACATGGACGTGCATCTCTGGGATGCATGGACCCCAGGAAGCAGGTGCAGGGAGCTGGGCACGCAGCCCCTTCCCTTGACTGTGTGCTGCCCATCCATCGCCACAGCAGTGTTGACCTCAGTTCCCAGTCTCCTGCAGCGTCCACAGCCACGTCCACCCCGGCCCTGTCCAGTCTCCTGCAGCGTCCACAGCCATGTCCACCCCGGCCCTGTCCAATCTCCTTTAGTGTCCACAGCCACGTCCACCCCGGCCCTGTCCAGTCTCCTTCAGTGTCCACAGCCACGTCCACCCCGGCCCTGTCCAGTCTCCTGCAGCATCCACAGCCACGTCCACCCAAGTCCTGTCCCTTCTCCTGCAGTGTCCACAGCCACGTCCACCCCGGTCTGTCCAGTCTCCTTCAGTGTCCACAGCCACGTCCACCCCGGCCTGTCCAGTCTCCTTCAGTGTCCACAGCCACGTCCACCCCGCCTGTCCCGTCTCCTGCATTGTCCACAGCCACGTCCATCCTGGCCCTGTCCAGTCTCCTGCAGCGTCCACAGCCACGTCCACCCCGGCCTGTCTCGTCTCCTGCAGTGTCCACAGCCACGTCCACCCCGGCCCTGTCCCGTCTCCTGCAGCGTCCACCCCGGCCTGTCCCGTCTCCTGCAGCGCCCACAGCTGTGTCTCCATCATGTCTCCTTGCTCTTACACTTTCACGTGTGGAAAGGAACACGCTGCTGCTGTTCACGTTCCTTCAGTCACTTCTAGTTGTGACCATCTTCGCTTGTGGCCTCTTTGGGCTCCATTGTTCTTTTCTGGTCGTTTCTGGCTTGCATCCTTTGCCCATTTTTTGGGATGAGTGCTTCTGTGGGAAGCTGAGGCCTGGGGTTTCCTCTGCCATCTTGCTGTGTCATCTCCCGCCAGGGCTTCATTTCTCTCTTGATGGTTCCCTGCAAGCCGAGATATTTTATATGCTGCTGACTCTGCCACAGAGGCACTGGGAAAGACAGGACAACATGTGTGGGGGGTGACAAGAACAAAAATACACACACACACACACACACCCACACACACACACACACACACACACCCTGCTCAGAACTTCTTATGGGCATTGAGCCCTCTGGATACTTCCTGAGTCTCTATATTGTTCCTCAGACTCAGGTTTCCTTTGGACTTTTATAATTTTCCATGGAGTGTGAAGGGAGGAGGCTGGGACCTCTCCTAGCTTATAGCCTTACGACAAGAAGCCTGTCTATCTGTCCTGCCTTTCTTCCTTTTTTTTTTTTTTTTTTTTGGGAGATTTGGGAGAGTAACTTTTTTCTAGATCTTAGAGCTAGGAAGTAAGAGCTTCTAGGTAACAACTACTTGCCTTTTTTCCTTTTTTTTTTTTTTTTTTTTGGTCAGGGTCTCACTATGTAGCCCCCTATAGGCTGTCCTGGAATTCTCTGTTACCTGGCTGACCCTGAACTCCCAGAGATCCATCTGCCTCTGCCTCTTGAACACTGAGATCAAAGCCATGCACCTCCAAGCCCGGCTAGGAGCCCCTTCTTAATGATTTTTATCTGTAGAGGTTAGCACATACCTTGGCTCCCCAGCTCCGGCCAGGACGCCCCTCCCCGGGCTCCCCAGCTCCGGCCAGGACACCCCTCCCCGGGCTCCCCAGCTCCGGCCAGGACACCCCTCCCCGGGCTCCCCAGCTCCGGC